AAAAAAAAAAAAAAACCCAAATAAAACAAAACAAACCCCCATGCCCACAAACAATGAAACCCCCCCCCCCCATTCTTGTATCCTTCCCCTTGTGGGGAACATAAGTTATGCCAGTGTCTTGCACCTCCCTTGGGAGTGGGGTATTTATCTTCTTTGGTAGGTAAATTCCTTTGGGAAATAAATAATAGGAGAGCCACAAATTGCAGGGGGTTCGCAGGAGAAAAAGCAGGCCAGAGACTTCAAGGGGTCTCTTGTGATTTATAGTCACTCTTTTGCATTTATTGAATGCGCTGATTCCCGCTTGATCAGAGAGCTGCAAATGTCACAAATGCCTGTCTTTTCCAGATTGCGCAAACAGACGTTCAGCAGGGACAGCAGCAGTTCAGCCAGTTCACAGATGGACAGGTACATGTCTTTACACTTGGGGCTGGGGGAAGGGGTTCTTGCCAGAGCAGCTTGGTGTGGCCAGCTTCTCTTGAAGGAAGCCAGCTTTCTTCAGAGGGTTGTTGACCCAACAGGAAGAAGCCAGAGTCATCTTTCTGTGGATTATAAGATATTCGCCCTATTAATTCCTTCTGCTAATTGAGAACTAGCTTGGAGTGTTGTGCTTTGGATGCTCCCCGGCAGTTCAGGGGACTCCCATCAGAGCTGTGAATTTTTCCCAGTTGAGGACTATTGCAGAAGGAAGAGGTGTTTGTAGGTAGCATTAGCAGTGTATAAATGAATTGAACCGGTGCCTCTGTACCTAAGAGCGTGCGGTACCATGCCATGCCTTGAAAGGATCCATCAGAAATGCAGTTCCTGGAGTTCTCTTTGCTTGTTCCCTCCCAGCAACTGTACCAGATCCAACAAGTGACCATGCCTGCCGGTCAAGACATCACCCAACCCATGTTTATCCAGTCTACCAATCAGACAACAGATGGACAGGCCCCACAGGTCACGGGAGACTGACCAGCTCCAGCTGGAAGCGCTTCTGATATGGCAGAATTCAACCCGACTTGACTGATGTTTCCGCTGACAGAGTTCAGAAGCCTTCTTTAACTAGTCCATTCCCTCCCCACCACGAGTCTTCATTGATAGAAAGATGCCGAGGGCTGTGATCAGCATTACATCAACTGCTTATGTTGGCTGGACGAAGAGGATGCCATAGGAACTGACTACAATGCAATA